AAATCCCCCTGTGCCCAAGGTTTGCAGGGACCCTTGTGGACCTTCCTTCCTGTGACATGGCTGGGGAAACACATGGGTCTGCAGATCTCTTATTCATCTTCTCGGTCTTGAGAGGGTGAGCTTAAGCAATCTGCCCTGGTGTGAGCGTGTGCCCGTGTGTATGGGGGGGTATGTGACTCTGCAGCTCTCCTGTGAATGACTATGCCAGCTGTCTGCCCCTGTATAACATGTGCCTGCTCCATGCCAGGGGCTGGGCATACCCCGACACGAGGCAGCGAGCCCATGATGCCCTGCTGATGCCCACAGCTCACCGTTCCTTGGTTACTTGGTTCCTTTATCATTCTTTGATTTCTTAGTATATGTCAGACTATTTATTTGTATTAGTTCAGTTTAAGTTTTACAATAACCTCAAGAGTTCAACCAGTTAGTAATCCTATTTTACAGAAAGAGTAAAATGAGGCTCGAGTAACCCACTCAGTGAATAGTAGTTGAGGCAGAAATGTGAACCCAGATTTGACCCCAAAATGTAGACTTTAAAAAAACCGTGCCATGTAGCTTCTAATAAGAGCAAGAATTTTCTCTGAGTAGCCGTAATGGCTCACTAAACTTTTCTTGGAAACGATTACACTACCTCTCTTTATTCTTTCTAAATCTTATTCCCTTGCCAGGTCTCCTGTCTCCCTAATCCATTGCTTCAGAAAACATTGCCCCCCCACCCTCTCAAAGCATCTTCCAGAAACCACCCCCATATTTCAGTAAGCCTAGAGATTGGAAATGGTCCAGTTTAAATTCAAAGGTCTGTTATCCATGTAGATAAGTTTCCCAGTGTACCTCTTACATAGGAGACAAAAAATTCCTACACTGAAAGAGAGGTAGGAATCATTTGATTTAGTCCTTGCTTTCAAGACATGACTAAATAGCCTGGCACCAACGCTTTTCTATCCTTTTCTGAAACATTTCAGAAAAAACTCCCTAGTGTCTAATAATCCTGGTGGTCAGAAAATGTTCTTCAGTCCAGCAAAACCCTGTCCTGCTTCACTACAGGCTTGTTGCCAGCTTCCCAGGGCACCAGGGGCTCCAGTTAACCAGAGCCTTCCATTACTACTTGCCCTGCTAAGTGGAGATGATACAAACCGTTTCTACATGTCCACGGCATCAAGTTTTTTGAAGTGCACTTACATGTAGTGTATCACTGGGTCTGCCACCTGCCTTAGAAGGTGGGCAAGGCCGGGGTTCCTATTGGGGTTTTGTAAATGAAGAAACTGAGACTTAGTGGAGTTGGCTCTGACTTGCCCCCAAATTAGGCAGCCGGTATATATAGAGTTTAGCCTTGACTCCAAGTGCTTAGGGTTATTAGAGCCAGGAGGGATGTTCGGAGTTTATTTCCATATTAACCTTCTCTTTTCACAGATGAGGAAACCGAAGTCCAGAGCCTTTAAATAACTTGCCTGGTGGCAGAGCAGAATTAGAACTCTGGTCTCCTGCTGATCAGCTCATTTCTACCTATCTCACCATACTGAGAAAAACAGTGTGGTGTCAATAATTTTTGAAAGGCTAAATGTCTTCACACCTGACACTAATATAATGTTATATGTCAATTATATCTCAATTAAAAAAGAAAGTCACAAGGGCGTGGTCCCGCCACCTCCCACATCCTCTCAGTATCCTGGAAGGAAACCCAGCCCCGTGAAATTCTGTCACTGCTGATATTTGGCCTCTTTTCCCGACGGTGGCCTGCCTCGGGGCATACAGCAGCAGCCCCTTCCCCTGCAAGGAAAAGAAAATGCCCACCACCTCCCAAACAAAAAAAGAGGAAAAAAAACCACACCAAAAAACAAAACCCGAGCTCAGCAACCATAGAAGATGAACAACGCTGAATCTCAAAATGGTTCATTGGCAGAATTTTCCCCAGAGCCAACGGCCCATGTCAGAGCTACATTTTCCGCTCTGGCCACTGTGCTTTGGTTGCGGCTGACTTGCTTTCTTTCCTTTCGATGGAGACAGGTTCTGACGCAGGTTCAGGGCTCTGGCAGGTGTCTGGGGTTTACAAGCCCATCTCTGGCCTCTGACAGCTCATCTCCACACCCCACCTCTCCTCCCGCTTCTGCCACCACCAGCCCAGCTGGGGCAGAAGCCGTTGGAGGTGCTGGAAAGGAATCAGGGCTTTGCCGTCTCCAGAATCCCCTCAGCACATGCCCGCGGCCTGGGGGCAGAGCGAACACCGCGGAAGGCAAGATTCTCGGTTCCTCAGGGGCTTCTCTAGAACACATTCCAGAAAGTGCAGACGGACTTGGCAGATGCCAGTCGATATCTCGCCTTGATCCTTCCTGCCAAGGTGTTCTCTCTTGGGCTGTGCTTGTGTGTGTGAGGCTTCCAGGATGGGAGACTTTCCAGGGCTGGTCTCCTCTACTGATCACCGTATGCAAGATGGACAGTGCCTGTCGCATCCACTGATAGATTCGACTGGGGGGCCAGCATGGCCTCTTCCACTTCCTCTTGAGAGGAAGGAGATTGTTTCCAGAGAAGGCTGTAGGGCTGGAGAGAGAAAACTAATCAATGGACGTGATTTGTTCATGATTAGGGCAAGGCTGGGCCGATTCCCAGCGGCCCAGCCACTGGCTGTATCCAGAGGGCTCTAGGCTTTGAACCTGGGTCTCTGCATACTGCGGCTGGTCCCCTCTCTCTCTATGCCCCACAGTGCCCTCTCGTCAGCTCTCTGGCTTCCAAACCTCAGTGAGGTTTCCTTCACCAACAGCTTCATCTTTACCAGAAGCTCCTCTCTTCCCCTGCAAAATCCCCATTTTCTTATAGGCAGCTGGCCAACCGAACCCTGACAAGAGGTAACTGTGAGTTCTCAGCCACCCAGTATGCCTCCTGTTGTTTTCACTGGTATTATTACAGATGGAGTGTCTAAGCAAACTGGAGCACCCCTGGCGCTGTGTGTGTGTGTGTGTGTGTGTGTGTGTGTGTGTGTGTGTGTGTACACGCATCTGAAGTCAGAGTGGGGGCAGGCCCTGGGCCTCCCCAGACTGGCTGCATTTATCATTTCTTCTGCCCTTCCCAATATGAAAGATGAATAGTGCCAGTCACAGGCAGATGCCTACTTCTCTGGAATTGCCCCATCCTGGTCACATCTGTGACTTCTAAGGGCTGAGTCTGAGATGACTTCTCTGTTCTCAGCTTCTGGGGAAGGCTGGGGAAGAGCAAAAAAATTCCTGGAAGTAGTGTACAAGTAAACCAACTGTCCAGCCATTCCCTGAATGGATGTGGCTGCGTATTCTTGAGCCTGGGCACAGGTCTGAATCCTCAGACCATCTTCTCCTTCCCCATGGGCACAGCACTCCCACCCTGGCATGGCCGTGGCCCCCTTCCCTGCCTGTTAAAGGCTGCATTTAGTTAGAACTGCTGTATGCTCTTAGTGCCGCCCAAGGGAAATGGGGGTAATGCCCCGAACACCGTCGTCCTGGTTGTCCCTTTGGGGTTCTGCACATTCATGACCCCTCCCTTTTTAAGGGCTGTTCTCAGGATTGAACCTGATACTTATATCATGTATTCTTTAGAATAAATAATAGAAACCAACTCAGAGCTAACTCTTGGAATGTATAGGGCACTGGTCTAAAGGATGTACATATATCAACTCCTTTCATCTCCACAAGTACCCTAACAGATTTGTGTAGTTGATGTCAGTACTTCCATTAGCCCAGATGGGCTAATGTAAGATACTGTAACTCTAAGATACAATAATGTAAAATACAGTAACTGTAAGACAGTGTAATGTAAGGTATAGTTGGGAGAAACTGAGTGTCAGAGAGGCCATGTGCCCAAACCACCCTCACTTAGCTGGTATCAGAACCAGGATTTGAACCAGGATTTGTAGAGTGCTTCTGTCTCTTAATAGACAGAGTTATGGTATAACTGGTTGGCATATTAAGAAAACATGGGTTTTGGAATCAAAGACATTTCAATCCTAATTCCAACTCTGCCAGCTTCTGCTGGGCTTCCTTGAGCAAATTATGGAGCCCCTGAGCTTCAGCGTCCCCTCCAGTCAGACTCACAGTGACATATTTCATGGGCCCATGTGAAGAGGAGCTCGAATGAAGTATTTAAAGTTCACCAGATGGTGTCCAGCACATAGAAAATACCCTATAAATGTTAGTTCCCTTGTCCCTTTTTCTGTCACTTTCTTGGGAATGGTTTGTATTCTAACATGTATTCTAAAAGCATGAAGGGCTTTTAAGATCAATTCCCGAGTGGATTCATGGATTTGTGTTGGATGTGTTTGTGGGATACACCCAAGTGGGCCACTGACAGTCAGCTAGGCAGGTCCTGGAGTTGCATCCCGACCAGGCAGATGACTTTATAGTGTCTGACACTTGAGTCTCTCCATCTCAGGTGGAATTTGCTGTCTGAGGAATTTGGGGGGTGGCTATTTTTAAAGTAATGTGAGACAGCTGGTGATGGCTGCCTCGGGGACAGCACGTGAGCCCAGTCCCAGGAGGGAAAAGCCATGAATCAGGAGTCATGTAGCAAGACAGGGTTTTCCTTCAGGCCGGCCTTGGTCAGCACGGGTCCACGGTTCCCTTGAGGGATTCCCCGACTGCACGCTCTGGCACCCACGCTCTGTAGAATGCCTCCGATTCCCCCATCTGGCCTGACTCACCCCGGCCCCAGATGGCTCAGTGACACTCAGACTCCCATCAGGTGCTGTTGGGCAAGTCAAGAGGACCCCATGAGGACCACAAGGCTGGGCGGGAGGCTGAGCCAAACGTTGTGTTCTCTCAATTCTGGGAAAGGTTGGGCCTTCCTTTCACACCTGGAACCTTGAAAATCGGAAATACACAAAGGCTGGAAAAATAATGACAATAATTATCACTGCTTTCTGTATCTCTGACACTAATTGGTTAGTCATAGCAGCAGTTTGGGTGACTGTGATGATAACACCTCGCTGGCCTCCTTCACAGTTGGTGATGATTAATTAAATCATCTATTTGCTGCACCAGGAAGGAGTGTGCCCGTTGACAAGATGGAGAAGCTGAGCACCAGGGGAAGGAGAGTGGGACAGGGCCGACACCAGGTATGGGTAAAGACCCTTGGGGCAAAGGCTAATTTTAGTGCATGAGTCACAGGGGTGAATCCCCAGGTCAGAGGTCATCACACAGTATCCCAAAGACATCTAGAGGGCTCCTGGCTCCTGTCTCCTCTTGACCCCTCAGGCGAGAGATGGACAGTGTTCTCTACCCTAGGTGCCACTGCCAGGCCAGCCTTACTCCATCACTGTGGCCATCAAGTTGCTCCACAGCTTGACCATAGGCAGAGACTTATTAATGACCAGGCTAGATTCATATAAACACCTCAATTTCCCCATCTGCAAAATGGAAATAGACACCAACACTCTTGTTGGGAGGATAAAATGAAATAACAGATGGAAGGTGCCTGATGCAGCATAGGGCATACAGTAGGCACTCAACAAATGGTGGCTTATTTCACTCTGGTTTCTCTCTGTGGTCTGTCCTATCATATACTTCCCTAAACCACTCCCCCTGCCTTCTTGCCCCCCATATGCCCACAGATTGTATGCTACTGTGCCCCAGAAGTTCCTTCTCCCCGAAACCTCTTCTGACTGCTTCAGTTCTCATTGCCCTGTCCTTCTCTGAGCATCATATTTCCGTCGGGCCCTTGACTGTCGTATACCTTCTTGAGTCCTCCCTACTTGTGGCATGAATGTAAGTTCTGTCTTCTATGTAGACTTTAGTTTCACAAGTTGAGGAACTGGGCTCATTGCTTCTTTGGATTCCCATATCAAACAAGTCACGATGTGAGTAGTAGGTTCTTTAGAAGAGCCCTGAGAGGGGGTGAGAGTGAGGGGTGGCAATGGAAAGTTACCCAAAGTGACGGGGAAACCAGCTGGGGCTCTTGTGTTTGGGGATTTCCCTGGACCATGTTTCATGACCTGTGCCAAGCCCTTTGCTTTGTCAAACTGTAATACTGCTGCACTCACTCTACTCTGTATCTATTTCTACCCACGATGCACGTTTGAATGAGCAAAGTGCCGTATGATGGAAAATGTTGGAAATCTCAGGGCAGAGTCTGGTGAATTCATCCTGTCGGCAGGATGAGGGGCCCCACACCTTGTGCTCTGCAGACCACCCAAGGCCTCCCAGTGTACCCTCTTACTCTCAACTTCTCCTGGCTCCAACTGAAGCAATCCTGGCTGTCCTGCTCTAGACTAGGCCACTGTCTTGGAGCAGGGGTCTCTCTCTTCTCTCTGTGCAAACAGCTCAGACATCAGAGCCATTCTAGATCCAGACACACAGGTCAGCTGAAGAATTTGAGAATTGAGAGTAAGACCTGGCAGCCAGAGCTGGGACTGTTCAGTCGACCAGTGGTCTGTTGTGAGAGGGGACAGATGAGTCATTTTAAAGCTGTAGGGCCTTTCTAGACCCAGCCCCACCTTCTTGACACATTTTGGTTTCTGCATCCAGCTGCGTTTATTCTGTCATACACACAGGTTGCCTTTTGCCCTGGGGCTGCTTTACAGGGACCAGTCCTGGATCATGCTCGAGTTGGGGGGTAGACTTTGAGTTTGTTCAGCCCAAGGTGATGTACGTGGATTACATTCAGATTAGATGCCTCCAGAGCCTGGGCTCTCTCCCTCCTACTTACACCCATTTTCCACTCTGTCTAAGCCAGCTCACCCTCGGACTCTTCCTCATATGTTAAGATTGTAGCATGTGGAATGCCGGAGCTGGAAGGAGCTGTAGGATCAAGCTAATCTGCCATCTCCCTCATTCCATGGACGGGGAGACAGACCCAGCGCTTGGGAGAAACTTGCTGTGAGTCCATGTGGCCTCTGCACATGGACAGCCGGGCACTTGCGTTCTCTCGTCTTTCTCACATTCTGTCAGTCGTGCCTGAATCAATGACTCCCTTCTCCTTATTCCTTCTAGTACTGGTGTTAGAACTCACCTTCTCTAAGAAGCCTTCTCTAATTAATTCAGTTCATTTGTCTTCCTTCACGAGGTGGGTGGCTTGAGCTATGCTTATTTTTGCACAATATTGTTTTATCCTCCACAGCTCCTGTAGGATTATTTTGCATTGCCATTAGTTTGGCAGCTCCTGGGGGTAGAGTCCATAATTGTTTCCCCACCATTCTAGGATCCCTTGAAGACCGTCATCCTCTTCCTCTGGATCCTCCCTCACCCTTTGTCCAGCTCAGGGCTGCAAACTGAGGGATCTCACTGGCCAGAGGTGGGTAACATTGCCCGATGACCCAGGTCACAGTCTCTGTGCGGAGCGTGAAACTGGGGCAGGACTTCGAGGAAGGAGAACCTTCCCTGACTCCAGTGCTGGGGTCATCCTCTGAGGGTCAGGGCTCCCCCCATGCAGTGCACAGCTTGCTGGTGGACAGGATGTGAACACTGTCAAGTTTTGCACTGTCAAGTTAAGTAACTTGTCTGGGGTCATGCTATGACACATTCATTGCCAAACCCATCCCTTTCGCCAAGTCAGTCCTCCTTTGTACTTTCTTGCTCAACTCATGCAGAATTCTAGAATTCTCAGGCAGGGAAGGAATCCATGGTGGGGAATAGGTGGGTGGGGACATAACATGTATGGTGTTATGTCTCCTCCTAAGCAGAACACATGGAAGTCAGAGACACCAAAGGGCTTCTACATTTACCTGCGGTCACTCATTTCAATGTTCCACACCTCAGAAAGTTCACCTATTCTTGGAAACACCTTAATTTCTGCTACAGTAATTTGATCTGGAGCCCCTCACTGTTTTCCTGCCAAAATGGGAATGGTCAGGTATTTATGCTCGTTTATGCCTAAAGAGAAATATTACTTGAACAGTTGCTCTCCAGATTGGAGCACCTCAGTACCCTGATTTTTTTTTCTTGCTCAAGGCCCCACCAGACTTCCTGCTGCCACCTCCAGACCCACTCCTGTTCTTCACAAACACTTAGCTGTGTCCATGGCCAAAAAATAACAGTAGCTGGCCATTTCAGCCCCTGATTTTAGAGACAAAAGACCTGAATCCCAGAGCTAGCTAATGCCAGAGCTAGAGATGGATCAGGGCCACAGACGTCCTGACCGCTCAGGGAACCCAGAACTTTCTCAGTTTGGTTGTGAGCTGGAATTGAAGGAGGAGCCCTGTCCCTACCTGCTGTAGGTGGTGGGGACAGGTGATTTCCCCTGGACCATTGGCTGCCTACCCTTCCATCCCCAGTAGGGTCACTGGGGAGAGGCAACCCCACACAGCTTCCCAATCCTGAGAACGGTCCTAAGGGGCCATGGGACTTTGGTTCCACTTGTAGACAAGCCTCTGCCTTTTCTGACGCTTTGGTCCTGCCCCTAATAGCTCTGGGCCTTACCTTGGCCAGCTGCAAAAAAGAGAAAAATTGTCCCAAGTTCCTTGTCTACAGCTCCAAGGCAGTACACCTGAGTGATGCTTCAAGTTCCTCAGAGAGAGGGACAACAGAGGAGACTCTCCAACAGGAGATGATCCTCCAGGAGGTGGGGAAACCAGAAAACTAAATCAGACGGCTAGTGGCCAGCAGGGCTGGCAAGTCGTGATGCGTGGGAGTCACCTTACAAGCATTGACTGTGATTGACTGTGTTAGACATTTTCCTTGAATTATTTGCACAATACCCCCCATGGGATGGGGCCTAATTTCATCTCAGTTGTACAGACAGGAAATTGAAAGTTCGGGAGAAAGCTGCAAATACTTGCCCAAGGCCACTGGGCTGACAACGGGCTGAAACGGGCTTCAAGCACAGGGAACCTGACTCTGAGCCCACATTCTTAGTGCCATGGCCTCCGTGCCTGGACCCTGGCCTGGGGTGGTGCTGCAAGGGGAGGGCGAGTCTCCCTGCCCACCCCCACCCACTACAGGAAAGGATTGTGTGAGCCGGGGGCTGAAAAGGAGGGAAATCTGTGAAAAGGAGAAATGATGTGATTGGTATTAAAAAGTCTGGGAACTGCTGCTTAGAGGGATGGCAAGAATGGGAGAGAAACTGCTCATTTCTTGTGCTTTCCAGCTGCCTTGCCCGTGTTCTCCCTCCCACCTGGCTGGTGTGTCATCCAACCTGTGGGGGGCCTGTGGAAGCCCTCATCCCAGCCCACACATCACCTCTCTGAGCAAAGTGGTTGTGTTCGTGGATCTATGCTTCTCCCAGGACTTCAATCTGTATGGAAATGACAAAAGCCAAAGGAAGGAAAGTGAAGTTCAAGTTCAAGTTCCCATCCTCCCACCCCCCAAGTTGATTTCCCACGAAGCTAATGAAAACGAAAGCTTTGGGGTCTCTCACTGGCACTGGCCCTTCCAAAACCCCTGTCCTATTTTTATATTAATGATGTATATCCATATTTATTCATTTTTTCTTAAGAAGAGCTCTCCTCCGATTGTCTATGCCTCAGGACTCCACCCAAACCTCCCCCATCCCATAAGCCAAATGGCAGGGTCCTACAATGAGAAACACCAGAGACCCTCCTCTCCTCCTGGAGCCCTCGCACACAGCACAAGCCTTGATTGAAGGTGTGACTTGGCTCAGAGCAGCTGGGCTAAGTTTTTGTAAAAAGGTTGCAGTGTCTGCACTTTAACAGACCTCAAAGCCACCAGAAAGTGGGAGCTTACAGTACTTTCTTTGTAATGATGACTTGTTATGATTTTTCTCCATAGATAGATGCTTGCATGCACTGACATGATTCCAAGAAGACATATAGACAGTATTTACATATGAATCTGTGTGTTCCTCACCACCCACACATGTGAATGGACGTAAGTATGCTTATTTGCAGACATTTCTTAGCTTTGTTTCATGCAGTGAATCACTTCTGTTACAGGGAACTTGAAGTCATTCTCTGGGATTGCGGGTATCCAGTTTATTCTAGGGATCTGGAAGACTGCTGCCAGATACCCTCAAATTGCTGGGACTGCTTTAGCCTGAGCCATGAAAGTCCCTGGCTTCTAGGCTGTGGGCCAGGCTGAGAGGGGCTGGAGGGGCCCTGGGACTTGAGAGGCTAGGGGGAGTGAGGGAACATGGACTGGAAAGGATGGACAATAAACTTTAACCTCGTTCCCCTCCCCATTAGCTCGCATCTCAGCCATGACCTGCTTATTTACACCTATACCACCTTCACCAAGGTGCGCTGGCTGGTGCGATAGGGTCTAGTTGAAGCAAAAAGTGGGTGTTTATTGTAGGGAGCCTGGGGTGTCTCCGAATATCCAGGGGCAGAAGCTGCTGCAGGTCACTGAGGGACTGCTCCAGAAGTGGACGTCGTCAGAGAGCCAGGCATCAGCCTCTTGCTAGCTGAGGCTGGGTGTCCGCTCTGTTCTGCTTTCCTTGGTGCCCCTGATTCTGTCCTCTCCCCAGACCAGCCTTCTCTGCCTTTTTGAGCAGTTTGCAAAAGACCACAGCACGCAGCTCTGGAAGCTGTTTGCCTTTAATTCAAGGACCAGTAAAAATGGAGTAGCGCTCTGAAATCTCTAATCCCCAATCCTGGGAGACAGGGGCTAAAGGCTCAGCCTCAATCAGATGTCCACTCTCTAATCAGCTACCGTCAGGGGACCAGTGGCGGCCAGGGGCAGACTGGGAAAACATCACAAAGGTGTCCCAAGTCAAATGGCTTGTCCACCATGAAGATCCTGGTCCCATCCTATGAGAGAAGGGACTTTATCTGTCCCTCTTCCATGGCACTTACCGCTTCCTGTCTGTGTTAGCATTGCTGTTATAAACAGTTTATCCCTCATCCCACATATCTATGAGCTAGTTTGTTTATCTTTATGTATCTCATTGCTTGTGCAAAAAAAAAAGTTGGGTAAGTGCTCAATAAATATTTGAAGTCATGACAATCCCCAAATAAGTAAATTTTCAGGAAACTTAAACAACCTGGCCACGTCTTTCATCACTGCATTGTCTTGAGTTGATTAAATCCAGTTAATTCAATGCGTTTTTATTGAGTGCCTTCTTCATACCAGGCACTGTCCTGGCAGTGCAGGGGCTACAACACTAAACAACACAAAGAAAACCCTTTCCCCGTGGAACTTCCTACTTAGTGGTGGAGACCATCAATACCCAATGTTTACTGTGAACTGGACTTTCTGCTAGGCACTGAGGCTAGAGATGTGCTAAGTCTCCTGCACTGCCCTGAAGGAGCCTGGTTTCCTTGGGGGTCACAGATGAATCATCAGATATGTGTCTGCACAACAGGAGAAGTGCTCTAAGACTTCACTGAGAGAGTATTACAACCTAGGGGAGAAGAGGTTAGTCAAGGAAGGTTTTATCAGGAACAGTGGCATGTGAGTTGGATGTGAGTGTGTGTTTGGGGTCTTGGGAGCAGAGGAAAGGACCAAGGAGTGACTGTGATCAGACCCTTCCAAACAGGCACAGGTGAAGGACATTTCAGGCACTGTGGAAGGCCTACTGTGCATTCAGTGTGGCTGCAGCAGCACAAGGAACATGTGGGGAAGGAATGGTGAGGTTGACCAGGGACCTAGCTGGGTCTTGCGTGCTAAGCCCAGGCAGTGATGAGCAAGAATCAACAGCCAGTTGCTCTGGCATTTGGAGGGCAATGATGTTGGCTGCTTCAGGCACGGGACCAGGCAGACCCTGGAGACCAGCAGCAGTATCTGGCATGGAACATATTCTAGAAGGCCCCAGCATGGGGCATTGCACCAGCCCTGTGGTCATTGACCTCTGGCTCATGGAGAGAGACGGCTGGATGGTTGAGATGAAATTTTCACTCCCAAATTGCAACCTTCCTCAGAAAGTACTGAGTCTTCTAACTTTCACTCCCTCGTGAGTGGAGTGGGATTTTCTAAATTTTGTAACTGAATTTAAGAAATCAAAAGAAATGCCCATTTGTACTTAAAAAATAAAAGGTCAGCAGAATGGCGTCTCCATACCGTGTCCTCTGAGTTACAATCCTACTGCCCAAGGCCCCTGAGCCAATGATATGATGAGGGCTCAGGATAAGTGATTTTTAGAGACTGCTTCTGTCCTGGAGTGTGATCGCTCATGGGACTGGAGGTCTGCTCTCCGCTGTCCCAACATGCCTAGGCAGGGGTGGAATGGAGCCAATTTCTTGGGACCTTTCCCTGGTCACAGGGAACCACCATTCATGCCCTAGTCCCCTCCTACCTTCCCAGAGCTGTCTCCATCCCCTTTCTTCTCCAGGTAGGCCTCCAGCCATGCAGACTTCCCTGCCTACCTCCGAAGGTTAGGATGGCCTTTTTCTTCTTCTCTGCCTATTAAACATCACTTAAGCCAAAGGTCCTCGTCTCTGGGGAGGCTTCCCCACTCCGTCTGACTCAAGAGCATCCTCCTCTGTACTCAGGCAGCACTTTAGACGCACTGCTGTTACTACTCTCACCTCAAAGAATTGCCGTTATTTGTTCTTAGGTTAGGTTGACTGTATTTGTGGAGCTCAGGGATGAGACCTCAATCATCTCTGAATCTCTGGGCACTAGCAACAGTGCCTGACATATAGCAGACTCTCAGTGAATTCTCTATTTATTAATGGCATATGGTTTATCTGGGCATCCTGTCCATTGGGATTGGGTTGTATGAAGACAGCTTTGGGAAGAATTTCAACAAGCAGAAAATGGGGAAGGGGCATTCCAGGTGAAAGAAGCAGTTTGAACAATGTCACCAAGGTGGAGAATCCTGGAAGATACGGGATCCTGGAGGGAAGTGGGGAGGGAAGGAAGGACAGAACATTCTAGGTGCCAAGGGTGGCACTGGGCTCCTTGAGTGCACTGCTGTGCCAGACCTTTATGACAACCTGGCCAAGTGGCTATTACCGCCAGAGGAGGAGACAGGAGCCAAGAAGGGCCACACGGCTCATGAGCTGGTGATGGAGACAGGACTGGACCAGGCCCGTGAGATTCCCAAGCCCGTGGCTTATCGGGACTCCAGAGGACAGTAAGTCAGGCGGGTGGGCCGAAGCCTAGAGGGAGTGAAGAGGAACAAGAGAGGAAGAGCAGAAGGTGCACTTGACAGTCATGTGGTTGATAAGATGCAGGGATTTTAGACTGCCGGTCATGCACCCAAATCTAGGCCGGGCACTTTAAATATGTCACCTCATTAAAGCCAACAGCAGCCCTATGGAGTGATCGCCCCCATTTAAGGGGGCTACATCTCAGAGTGGCTCAATAATGTGCCCAGTAACAGCCAGTAAGTGAGGGAGCCATGACTCGATCCATATCTTTTTGATTTCCTGGGCTTGTTGGGAAAAAAAATTAGTGAGTAAGTAACCACTTGAGAATTCAATTCTGAATGCCATGATGGGGTATGGATTTTTCTTTTCTGACCCGGGCAGTTCCAAGCCTGGGCTTGTCCCCCACCCATGTCCTTTCCTCCCTGTACAGTCTGTCTGCCCACGTGTCTTGTCTCTTTGCTCTGTCCCCTCTGCCTGAATGGATAGAGCTGGATCTTCACACAAGGGTAACTGCTAGGCTTAAAAAATAAAAGACCCATCTTCTGACAGATAAGAACTTTCCTTGAGGAAGAGAATAGATAGGAAGGTGAAGGGAATGTCAAAAAATAGGGGACCCAACCCAGATCTCAAGAAGAGACGCCACCACGGCCCTGGGAGGGCAGGGAAGAAGTTGCCCCCTCGTCTTTATACTTTCCCTCTTTAGGCATTCAGCCCTAAGTGGGTGAAGTTCAAGGGCAGCCTTGCTCCGATTACCTTGGTCTGCTTTTCAAAAGGCGGATTTCCTGGCCCCACTCCAGGTATTCAGTTTTTTGTGGGGCTCCAAAGTCTGCCTTTTTAAACAAGCACGCCAAAGAGTCCACGAGATGAGAACCTTGCCCTGCACAATGCGGTGCACCCATGGGCTTGAGGTGTTAATGCCAAGAGAACCTGAGGTGCCAGGAACCAGGGCTGGCCCCCTTCCAGGGCCCTGCCCCAGTCAGAGGCATTGACCTGGAGGCTGTGTGTAGGAGTCCCCGTCTTTCGGAATTACTGATGTGGTTAGAGTAGCAACGTGACTCTCTGTGGATGGAGGAAGGTAGGTCGGATGTGAGAGTCTCCCTCCGTGAACATGTGTGCGTCATCTTAATCATAGCTTGTATCTTAATTCTCAAAAACAAGTCGTTTTTGTTCCTGTCAGCATCTTGGGTGGCCTGCAACAAAGAGGGTGAGCTGAGGTGGGGAGGCTTGGCTGCAGCCTCAGGTGAGGCTTTAGGGTGTGGTTGGGCCGGGGCCTTGGGAAGCATTCATCAGCCTGCCTTCAGTAGTTCAAAAATATGATTTCAGAAAACACGGCCTGAGGGAACCTGAGAGGTCTCAAAGAGCTATCTGCTTGCAAGAGTTTTAGGGATTATAGCATTTTTTTTTTTTTTAATCATCCGGGATGGGGTGGTCCAGACCACAACTCCATAAGGAAGTGGATTTCAACCTGGATGCACTACAAAATAATCTGAACCTTTAGGAAATAGACATGCCCAGGCCTCACCCCCAGATCTACTGAAGTTGGGCTTTCGGGGGGAGGATCCGGGGCTCTGCATAAATCTCCCTGTGGATTCTGGAAAGGCCAGTCTAGCATTGCTTCAGGAGTAGCATTTGGAGGCTACTCCACTAAGGAGAGAGGGAAAATCATTTCCAGCTTGAGCATTACAATATCAAATCGCTTTCTCTCTCCCCCACCTCCATCTTCGTCTTTTCCCCTCCCACCACAACACGGCAGGAGGCTTAGAAAACTGTTACCTCTCTTTGTCCTGTAGGGCAGCACAGGGATCTATCTAGCTGTGTAAAACCCCAGAAAGAAGGGCT